CCTAGGGAATAAGTACTTAATTGCCACCAGAGCCGCCGGTGCCCAAACGCCGGTGCCCACGCGGTCCGCGCGCCCAGTGCCCCAAACGCCGGTGCCCTCGCGTGCGAAGTCTGTAGGACTTGGGGCGGCGTTTGGGGAGCCACGAGCGGAAGAGCCAAGTGCGAGTATTCCAGATCTGGAGCCTCGGTGCAAGGGCTGGGGCCCCGTCATGGGATGGGAGATGGGCCGGTGCAGGGGGCAATGGGCTGAGGATGGCTGAGGAGATCTGAGGATTGTTGCGTCAGTGTTATCTCGGGACTTGGCTTGGACACAGGACAGATTAAGATCAAGGATATCAAGGAGGTTCAAAGTTTAAGTCTAGTCTATGACTGTGACAATGAATGGTCCCACAACACCCCAAAGGTGGGCAGGTGTTATTGGTATCTGGTTCCGGCCGCTTCGCTCCTTCCTTCCACTCCCAGGCGCGCGCAGACGCGGCGTGCGCGGCCCTTCCGACGGCGCCTGGCGTGGCTGGTGGAGGCCCTAGAGCCTTGGCGGATGCCACTGGAGTGATGGGGTCAGGGCTGCGATAGATTCATCCAAAAGATAGATAGATAGATAGATAGATAGATACATAGATAGATAGATAGATATCTATATACATACACTTTTTTCTTTCCTATCTCTCTCTCTCTCTCTTTCTCTCTTTCGCTCTTTCTTTCTTTCTTTCCTTCCTTCCTTCTTTCTTTCTTTCTCTCTCTCTCTCTCTTTAGGTATCAGGTATATAGAACTGCGTTATAATATGATTATATCCACAGACTATATTTGGGCACCTACGGCATAAAGGACATTTCTTCTCGGGTCCACCTACAGGCCATTTCAGCATATTTTAGTAATAGTCTTGGAAATGGAGGGGGCGCATAAATACAGACTATTAAATATTGACTCCCAAATGGATAGAAACAGTGGATCGCCACTGAACATGTATTGGAAACCGAGCCACTATCTATTTGGGGACCACTATATATAGATGTGGGCACTCGGTGAGCTCAGGTGCGCCGGCAGATGCTTCGGGCCTGGTGCCACGTGGCAGGCCTGGCCTTCTCGCGTCGGCCGCCCGAGCTTGGTGTGCATCCACTCAAGAGCGGTGAGTGGATAGAAAGGTTGCAAGTTTGTCAGGAAATTGAAATACATTCACAAACGCGCCGCTGAGAGCGCTCCTTTCTGTTTTTACAAAATACTTACAGAAAATACATTGAACACAAAACATGTTCTGGTCATTATGGGAAAAGCCGTAACCTTCAGTTCAGTCATGTTGTCCAACTTCTTTTTTGTCTCGCCTGTAATCCTGTAATGCACACCCAAAATGGTCAACTCAAAAGAGCATTGCAGGCCTGCCTACCCGCAGCAGGACATTTTGTTCAAAAACAACTGTAGCAACTCTCACACAAGTGGCCCCAGATCCAGATAGTCAAAGCCGTATATAATGAGAAAAAGGGTCAAGGCTGTTTGACAAGAACATGGGATTGTAGCTTTGCAGTATACATCTATATCTATTTGTATTTGTATACATGTGCTGTATTTGTTACATACATGTATACACACAAATATTTGCACACGGAGTCAACCCAGACCGGAAGTGCCAATTGGGATCGGAAGAGTGATAGTATTCATCAGAGTTTGATGATGGTTGGCCAAAGAGGAGGGAGAAAGAAACATCACAACACCGCAAGAAAGACTCTGTTGGTGCCCGTTATCTCGGTGGCTTAGGTCTTAGGTCAGACCAAATGCCAATCTTTCAAAACAACCAGGTATGGAGGAGACGTCCCTCCTCCGCCTCGGCTTGGTGTTTATCGCCTTCGCCGAGGCCTGGGCCGCCGGCGTCGCCTGGTGCGGTGCTTCTGCGGCGACCGCCTCGCCGAGCGCGCGCTGCGACGGGCCTTCGAGGGCTGGCGCCGCACGCGGGACTTCTGGCTGGGATGCTATGCCTCAATCTCCTACGAAGAGGACGGAAGAAAGGGTTCAACATGACCTCAAAGGACCCCAAACCAGGACGTCCGGGCGGAATGCTTCCAGAGGGAAGGTGTGGTTTGCCAGTTTGCTTAGTTTCCTTTTTTGGCGCGGGGTCTGTTTCTTGGGGGGAGGAATGTATTTCGGTGAAAGATGACTATTAAACATCTATGTGACCCAAAGGATCAGGTGATCCACATGCCTACAGCTCCAATGAGTCAGCCACTTCCCCAAATTCTCCAAGCTCGGGCATCGGCAGGAGTTGAGCAGTGCCCAGCTGGTCGCCCGAGTGCTGCGCGCCTGGTGGCATGCCGCGGTGGGGCGTCCCGCTGCGTGCGCGGAGGCGGCGCGAGGCGTGGTCCTGGAGGTGCGGCGCGGAGCACAGTCACTGGCCAAATGGTTCGATAGAAAGAAAGGACGTCCAGGAGTCCAGGAGATCCGGATTTCTCGGGGTGCCAAACATGCGGAGGGGAGGTAGAGGTCTCGTTCAGGTGCGCCAAAAGTGAGACGCACCAAGGGGCGCGTTGGTGCGCCATTCCGGCATGGAACGGCTGGGGTGGACATGGTTGCACCGTTTGCCGGGCGTTGGACCACTTGCAGGCGCAGCGGCATTGGATCCGACGATGGCATCACTGTGTGGTGCAACGGGACCAGCTGGCAGAGATCTTGTGCAAACACATGACAAGGCCCTGCAATGGGTGGAGTCGAGTGAGCCCAAACATGACAACTAGAGCTTCTGGTCATCGCAGGTCTTGTTCCCTTCCGCACGTCTCCCAAATCAAATCTTGGTCATGTAGACTCTTGATTAATAACACCCACCATATGAAGTATTTCAATTCAGTTGGAGGGTTTATTCATCAAGAGTCTACATTAAGTTACTTGGAGGGAACTAAAAGCAACATCCAACCTCTGACTCCAGCAGCTGAAGCCTTCATTTTCCAGCTCGTGAAGGCTTGGAACGCATTTCGTCTCCCTTTGGACAAGTGTCCAGAGCTGCCATGCATCAGGATATTGGGCATCCCTATCCTCCAATAGACAACCCTTTGTTACTCCTGCCATGTGGACCTTGTTCGAACACATATGCCCGCCACGTGGCACATGAGGTCCCGTTTGGGAAAAGACGTGCGAAAACGCCACTCGTGCCAGGTGTGCTGCACTCGCTCTGCTTGGATGGTCGCTCTATGCGGCAGATCAGCTGCTGTTGCGGAAACGTTCCTCGGTCCTGTTCCATGGAGGGGTGGCTGTGGGGCGGCATCTCCCTGGGTGCTTCACCCATCGAGCCCAATGAGTTCGACCGATTTTTGCAAAGCACAACTTCCTTGCTTCAGTCACCTCAGCTGCACCGCCCGACATGGTCTGGCTGCCTGGCTGAAGAGTTTGGACCAAACGCCCCCACGGCAGGCGCCGAGGAGCTGCAGCGGCGCCGGCTCGTGCGGGCGGCGCGGGGTGGTCTGCGCCGCTGGGCGCAGCGTGGGGCGAGGCGGCGAAGCCTCCGCCGTTCGATATGCTGGATCCTGCCTTGTGGGCGTATAAAATTAGGCTGCAGGTGTTTTCTTCAATCATACATGCAGACATGTATCAGTAGCCTAGCCTTTCAGTATCATAGTTACAGTCAGAGGATGTGGCAACCTCCACAAAAAGGAAGGAACGTAGCCATGTCAACCTTGGCCTCCCAAATCCTGCCCTGTGCCACTTCCCGAAAAGAAAGGAACTCCCGCACTACCTGGCGATTCTGCACTTCAACTTCAGTTGATGGGAGAAGGTCTTCATCCCTAAAACTCAGCAGAACTCTGCAGAAACCTGGGAATCCACCTCCAGGTGCCTCCGCTGGCGCCCCCCCCCGACCCGTTCCGCCGCGCCGCAGGCCGGGCCTTGCCGCGCTGCTGGAGCTGCGCGTGGCCATGGTGCCGCGCGTGGGACTGGTGTCGCGGGTCTTCGATGCCTGGACCGAGTGCGGTCGCGCCGCCGGGGGCCGCGACGAAAGCTTTTGCCTTAGATCGATGGCAGGCTTTGATGGGCTCTGTGCTTGAATGGCCGAGGCCATGGCCTGAGGGTTGGTATATGATTGACTCATTTTAGACTAATAATTTAGCCTATGAGTGACCACAAGGCCTCACCATTCCCACCAGGACGGGCGCGATGCACCATGCGGCGGCCAACCAGGCGGCACACCTGGCGGTGCATGTGGCGCTGCTGGGCCAGCTGACGCGGCGCGCGTGGACGGCGTGGTGCTTGGGGCGCCGGAAGTTGGAGGTGCCGATCGACGGGTCCGAATTCACATAAAACTCCTCCAGGGCTGAGAAGAAAGGGTACAAGGCACCTCACCGTTGCAGAGCTCCAAGGTGTTTTCTCCCTACGCCCGCGGGCTCTCGTTGCCACCTAGTCACAAGGCCTTGCGACGCTCTGCAGCAGAGGTCCGGCGGAGGAGGAGCTGCGCCGGGCTCGGGGCTGCAGGAAGAGCATGAATAGCCAGTACATAGATTAGATGGAACAAGCCTATGATTACACCCACACTCCCCTTCATCACTTCAGGATACAAGGTACGATCTTGAGCCACCAGTGGGTGTCTGCAGATGGCTGCACTGCTGTGTTCACCAAGCGTTTGTCATTTGCAGATAGATGCTTTCAGTCCACCACTGGCTGGCGGATGGGCTCGTGCGACATCATGTCCTTCTCTCTCGGGCGAATCGGATCGAATCGGATCGAATCAGGAGGAGGGGTGATCCACTGACCGCATTCCTAGCAGTCGCTTGAAATCCCCGACTAGGAATGACTCTTTCAATCTCTTTCATGTGGAGTTCTTTAGATCTTCATCTTGCTGGTGGGTTGGTTGCTGACACCTCGAGCTCGCCAACTTGCCACCGGCGACGGCCCCCCATCCAAAGCATTCAAAGCAAAAACCGCACAGGTCTTCCATCCATCGATTGGCCCCTTCATCTATCCAGCCCCAGGTCTTTCACCCATCCATGGTTGGTACCGTCGCCCCTCCGCAGGGCCCAGCGCCTGCTGCCGCCCTGGCGCCGCTTGGCCGCGGCCGTGCGGCACGGCTGGGCGCGGAGCCGCGCGTCGCACCGGGCGGCGGTGAGTCTGGCGCTGCAGGTGCTGGGGGGGCGAGCGAGGTCAGAGTGAGTTGGGCGGATGAACAAATCAGTGAACATCAGGAGACCTTGGTTTGACCTACACGTTACCTGGAACTCGGACCCATGTCCAATGGTTTTTGCTGGTGACTCGGACCTGAATAGAAAAAAGGCGCGGGACAGATTGAATCGGGCAGAAAGGCAGATCCGCTTCTGCAGAGGGGGGTCATGGTTGGGCTTCCATGCTGGTTTGAAGGGGAATTTTGAACCTAGGAAGTGCGGTGATGTGCGGTTATGAAATCTTTGGGAGAAGATCTGACATAAGCGCGGTGAGCCGGGATTGAGTTGTTCGCCGGCCTTGGCGCCCCGACCAGCCACGAGAGGGGGGACTCTTCCTTCCAGGACGGAGATGCTGCTTCGAGGATGGTGTCGCTTGGCTGATTTCCGTCCTGATTGCTGGTCCCGACAATGATTTTGCTGTACTGTAGCAGCCGGTGGTTGGCATTCTACAACCTCAAAAACATTCAAAAACTTGAACCTGGACAACCTGGTATGGCTCAATCCTAGCAATCCTCTCCCCAGCCACTACCACAACACCAGAAGCTGCAACGATGCCAGAACCGCCTGATGCCTCGCAGACGGCGACCATTTTCTCATGGGAAACGCACTGGCTCTGACTTTGGTCGCTGAGGACGTTCTACCGCCAGCACTTGTTGGCAGCAATGCTGAGCTGCTGGCAGCAGGATGCGGTGCGAGGGAGCGAGAAAAAGCGCCATGCAGGGCCACAGATGGCAACCTGGAGCTCTTGGCTAAACTTTGGATACGAGGTGATGAGGAAGCAAACTGGTGATCGTTCTGCTGCGCATGTTCTGTTGTTTGTGTGTGCAGAGTTTAAGACTGGAATTGCTTTCCTTTTGTCGGACACCACTCATATATGTGCAACTATCACATGACAGAGTGGTTTGCGCTCAAGCTTCTTGGTTCGAGCCCCGGCCCGCATGTCCGCGTGGCCATACCTTCTCGACATCGTTCGAGAACTTCGGTGGGCTTGGCCGGTGAGCTCCTCTGGTTGCACTGGCATTGGATTGCCCCTGCTGATCCTCTTGGTGCTGCTTGGCTGCTGCATTGGTTGCTTTTGCGGCGCGGTAACCACTCTCCTGGCTGTTTCGACAGCCTTTCGAAGGTGTCTGAGGCACCTTGTGCTTGGGCTGGTGACCTACGCTGCTCCTGCTCCTGTGCCTGTGGCCGCCACGAGCCTTCGTCGACGGTTAGGGGAGTACAGAGACAGTGCATGAGCCAGACACCTGAGGTGGACGCCTTGTCCCTCCAGTTGGGTGACCTGACCATCCACATCACCCGCTCGCCGGACCGGCGAAGATCCAGTACAAGCGCAGAAGAGCCTAGTGCCGCCTCGGGCGATCCAGTGGCTAGCCTGTTTCAAGAGTCCCCTTCACAAGGTGCCTTTGCTCGCCCCCCTGGGGGCACTACTGCACCCGCCAGTGGTGCAACAGCGGCTTCGACTGGAGGCGCACCGATCCTGCCTGAGGAGATTGAGCCTTGGACTTGGGAGTGGGAAACCTTGTTGTTGGACGCCCGCACTCCTGCTGATTTTGAGCGCCTAGACCTCTCTCCAGTGACTGGGCTATTGGGCAAGTTGAGATCCACTGCTGGTGGTTGGACGCCTCTAGCACGCCTTGGGAGGGCGTTGAGGGCGGGTGTGATCGCTAGGAGCAAGCTGGCTGGCTTGCCTGGGGGCTATCAGACAGGCCCGGACATTCCTCTGGAGAACAGATTTTATATCATTCTTCGAGGTCATTCAGGCCGCCCCGCCGGGTGGACCGAACACTACGGCACCTTCCTTGCAGCTGTGCAGGGACCACACTCGCGTTTCCATCCCGACGTGGTGTGCCACTCATTTGCATCGAAGACGGAAGCTGAGGCTTACTGCATTGGCGCAGGGTCATCATGGCCCGGGCCACTGCAGCGCAAGCCTTGACCGAGGTCACTATGAGGGCCCTGGGAGGGCCCAGTGGGCCAGGAGGTCCACTACCTGCTCTGTTTCTATGCCTTCCTGCAAAAGAAGATGGGACAGCGGTTCGTTCCATGGCTGCATTGGTCCGGATGAGATCCGGCGGTTTCATGGTTGCCCTGCCCGACTCAGAGGAGGTCAGCCTGTTTCTGCAAAGCCAGGAGGACGAAGGGAGCTTCGAATCTGCCGTGGCGTTGTACCCCACAGAAGTGCTTTGGGAGACGCCTCGAGGACGTGCCTTGGGAGAAGGGGGCATCCTGCTAGCAGATTTAGTATGGTCCCTGGCTCAACTGTTCATTCGTGGCAGCCCCTTGCGTGCAGCTTCATTGGTGGAAGTTATCAGGTTCACCTATGGCGACCAAGTAGCTCGCCCCAATCGGGGCTCTGTGGAGGCAGCTGCAGATCAGTGGATTCACGAAACGATGGACGAGGACACAGCCGCCGACTACGTGACCATCGATGGAGGTGGGGAGCCGGAAGAGGAAGAGTTGGTGCAGGATGGCAGTCCTCATGTCATCGACTTGCAGCGCCGTGTCCAAGAGCTGGAAGAGATGTTAGCTCAGCAAGCCTCAGCCAGAACTCCGGGGGGTGCAACTTCGTCCACGCCTCAACCTCCAAGGCCACGAGGGGTCTTGTTCGATCAGGCTGCAACTCCGACAACTGGCGGCACTCAAACTTTGGAGAAGCTCCGACAGCTGGCAGGCGCCGCTCCGTTGCGGCTGGGGGCACACGAGAAGACGGTGCGAGCCACGCGTCCCTCTCAGTTCCTGGAAACACTGCAACAGGAAGAGACGCTGGAAGCGGTGGAGCCGCCAGAGATGGAGGAGGGCCTAGCAGAGTTGGAAGCTGCCATTCAAGATCCCATGCAGCGGATGTTGCTTCTGCAGATGAAGCAGCTTCAGTTGATGACCAAGCAGCAGGAGAAGAAGATAGACCCTCTCCATGCCGCCTTGGGCGGTTCCGAGACAAGTGGGGGCGGCTCAGGCATAAAGGGCTGCCTTGCGCGCGATGCCTATGTCCGTCTTGCATCCGATGTTGGCAAGGTGGGAAGCATCGTGCAAAACAACGCAGCTGTGGAGTTGGGGTTGGACCCCCATCAGATAGGTTCAGGCCTGATGCGAGAGTACCTGGAGAAGAGATGTCTGCTGGGGGACAACCGTCTCCTAACGCAGTTCGGGTACATCTTCGCCGCTGCTTGGGAACATGGGTTCCGCACGAACAACCACGACCTGCTGGGTCATGCCTCTCGAGGAATGCTCTTCATCGACCAGGCTGCCATGGACTACGGCCGGACAAACCTAGCTTGGCTGTTGACCTCCCTGCCCGAGCCGCAGTACTCCATCACCCAGAGAAATCGGCACAAGGCCTCAATGAGCCCGTTCACCAGGTTAGCCCAAGCTTCATGGATAGCGGCAAACGTGTCGTATATGAAAGACTTGGACTACCTGGAGGGGCGCATCAAGACAGCCAACTCTGCCCCACCTCCCAAGTCCAGCAAGGAGGAGGGCGACGAGGGGCCAGCTGCAAAGAAGCAGCCGTGGAAGAAAAAGAAGCAGAAGCAGAAGGAGGACGGCTCCGGAGGAGCCGGGGATCAGTGAACGCGACCGACGATCCTCCCCTGCGCCATTGCACACCCCCTTTGCCGAGCTCTTCTTTGTCAGGACGGGGGGATAGGCTCCCTACCGTCATTTGCGGTCGGGGGGGTGTGCCGCGGCCTTGCAGGGTTGAGAGTGGGAGGGACGGTGAGCCCTACCCAACAGTCGCGACGAATCAGGAAGCAGGCAGCGGGCCTCATTTTGAAGCTCGGGAACCCCGGAACGTTGATGTGCGGATGTCCGGGTCTCAGCTGCCATCCACAATTCAGTGCACTGAGCTAGCGCGCGCAATTTTGCAAGTTTCCAAACTCCCTGGCGCTTTTCACCACTTCGCCCAGAGGAGTATGAAAGAATTCCGCTCTGATGAAGAAGGTCCTGAAGTTAAGAGGACCGATCCTTGGCCATGTCCCCCGCCTCGCTGGCGGCGTTGGACGGCCGCCCCATCACCTTCACCCCGCCGTCGACGCAGACTCCGACTGTTGGAGACAAAGGCCCTATGTGTGCAACAGTTGGTGCTGGCTCTAAACTGGCTGTGCTTGGGGTTTGCCAAGTCACCGCCAATCTATGCCAGAGCGGGCTACCCGATGAGCGCGCAACAGCACGCTATGGTTGAACGGCTGGAAGACCTAGTGGACCACTATCTGGGTGGGCCAGCCGTGCAGATAGACAGTTTAGGCCGGGCTGGGGAGAAGTTGACAAGTTTGGGAAAATTAGCTTTTCGGTTGCACGACCCATCAACTACCTTTACTGTTGATGACCTTTCCAGTTTTTTGAATGCATTCAACAAAGTTTTGAACCTTACTCACGTAATAGACATATGAAAGCTCGGAACTATGAGCCCCAGCCTCCGACGACCAGTACAGATGAGGCTATGCCCGTGACGCCCGAAGTCAGGATCCCTTCTAGCTCGTTTGTTGCATTGCCAGTGCAAGCTGATCGAATCAAGTGGAAACTGGCTCCGACGTTTGATCCTGTACCATTCCTTTCAGATCCCATAGTCAAGCGAGCTTTTCAGGATCCTAATGTGCTTCGGCGTCCAGAGCAGGATTGGCCCTCTTTGCCTCGGGCGAAAGTGCACGCAGATCGTACACAGATCTTCAAGCTTGCGCAGAAATGGGATGCATTGCACGCTTGTTGTTTGGTGCCATGCTCTGAGGTGAAGTCAGTTGAGTCTGTGGGCTTATTTGCAGTCCCCAAAGATGCGGACCACGACCGCTTGATCTTGAATCCCACGGTGGTGAATAGCAGGTGTTTTCCCTATGCTGCCTATACCAAAACCTTGGCCCCAGGGTATTTGATGAGTTTGATCCGCATTGGAGCTGATGAAGATTTGTTAGTATCCTCAGATGACCTATGCGAATTTTATTATACCTTTAAGGTGAGTGCGCAACGAGCGCGTCGCAATGCTATTGGTATGAGATTCAAAGGGTCAGAGTTTTCGCAGTTTCAATGCTATCAACCTCAGTTGCATGAGCAAGAGGTATTTGTTTGCTTGAGTACTCTAGCAATGGGCGACGCCCTCGCGGTGGAGATCGCGCAACAGAGTCATGTTAATGTCTTGCGAACCCTCGCCTCTTGTATGCAGCCCCATGAGTGTCTTCTGTATCGTCAACCTATACCTAGAGGTCCGTTCTATGAACTGTTGACGATTGACGACCACATTGGGTTACAACGGGTCAAAAAGGATGGTTCTTTTCCGGAAGATCATAGCAGGGATATTCAAGTTTTTGAGGCTGCAAATCGAGCATATTCACATGTGAAGTTGACCGCACATCCCGGGAAGATGAGACGCCGGGAACAACACGCAGTGGTGTTGGGGGCCGAACTGGACGGGTGCCGCGGACGTTGCTCGGCTCCCAGGGAGCGTGTAGCTCTGCTCAGTTTCATCACCAGCATCATTGTTTATAAGAAGTTGGCTACCCGGAAGCTGATTTTGGGACTGTTGGGGTGTTGGACTCATGCCCTTTTGTTTAGACGCCCCCTGTTCGCAATCCTCGAAACTGTGTATCACGAGGGGGAAACTCTTCCTAGTGACCAGGTGTTCAGGCTTTCAGAAACATGCTGCAACGAACTATTGCTCCTTTGCATTTTGGCACCGACAATGCAGACAGATCTTCGCGCAGACATTGCCAATGTTCTTTACATGCTTGATGCCTCACCGTACGGTGGCGGCCTGTGCCATGCAGAGTTTTCAGCAAGTGGTGCAGAAGAGCTGTGGAGGCACAGTGAACAGCGGGGATTTTACACGAGATTACAATCGCCTGCAGGTGCCACATTGAGGGAGCTAGGTTTCGAACATACAGAGTTTTTTGGCGAGGACGCCCAGCATACAGTTTTTCCCGATGGTGTTTTAACTTCACCTCCTCTTTTGAAGATTCAGGAGAGAGTGCTCAAAGATGAGACCAAAGCATTTGACTGCATTGAACTCTTTTCCGGACAGGGGAATTGGAGCCGCAGTCACTCCGAGCTTGGACTCAAGGTGCATCCGGGCATCGAGTGCGCTGCGAGCGGTCGCACGTTTGGTGATCTAGCAGACAATGAGACCTTTCGCGAGCTGGCCAAACTGGCGTATCACGGCGCCATCAAAGACTGGCATGCAGGGCCTCCGTGTTGGTCTTTCGGGACCTTGCGAAGGCCTAGGTTGAGATCTAAGGAGCATCCAGCTGGCTTTCAAATCCGTGACCCGCTGACTCGTGAACAGACACTGTTGGCTATTCGGACAGCATTTTTGTTGACCTTAGCAATACTCAGTGGGAGCTTTGTTTCTGTTGAACAGCCCGGGAGTTCGGTGATGTTTCTCCTGGCAGCGTTTCAGAGACTGCTTGCACTTGGATGTAAGATCACAAAGTTTTGCTTCTGTTCGTTTGGTTCTGGATTCAAGAAGCCAAGCAAATGGTTGCACAACAAACCATGGTATGACGTGTTATCTGGCACTTGCTCTTGTCCTCACAGAAATGCTCACTTCACAGTTCAGGGAACTTTCACCCGTGCTTCAATTCGAACTTTTGATCTTCATTGTCGACCGAACGCGATGACAGTATATGGTCATGTTCCTGAGGTTGGCACCCCGGTGAGTAGGTACTCGGCTTCATACCCCCTACCCTTGTGTCAGGTGATGGCTGCCGGGTGTCATGCAGCTTTCAAGTCTGGCGTAAAGCCCCACTCGTGTGAGCGGACCTGCAGTTCAGCTGCAGAGCTTGATGAGGCTGATGACTTGGGTTTGAGGGAGTGGCATGACGACCCACTTTGGGTCGAGGACATTTGCGAAAGTTTAACTTTCCAGGAGTTGTTCAGATATAGGTTCAAGAAGAGTGGACACATTAACGTTCTTGAATGCAGAGTATATAAATCTTGGCTGAAGCACTGTTGTAAGAAACATCCTGGAAGCCGCATCGTCAGTTTTTTGGATAGCAGGGTTACAATGGGTGCTGCGGCTAAGGGCCGGAGTTCTTCAAAGGCCTTGAGCAGGATCCTCCGAACTTCTTTGGGATATATCATCGGAGGATGTTTGTATCCCGGATCCCTTCACTGCAGGTCAGCTTGGAACCGCGCTGATGGCCCTTCACGGGACACTGAGGCGCCAGGTCCTTCGCGGCCGATTCCACGCTGGCTCAAAGAGCTGAGGGAAGGGAAGGTGGAGCTGTTTGACCAGATGATCGCTTTAGCAAAGTGGAACAGACCGGTAGGTCGCTGGATTCGTTTGTTACTGCTCTTAGCAGGGGACATTGAGCAAAACCCCGGACCACCACAAACAACTTCAAACAAGCAATATGCACCTCGTGGCGAACTTAATTTACTTGGCGGGTTTGCAACAGCGACCTCAACGAGGATGCAAAAATGTTTACAGAGTTTTCAGAAGTGGTGTGTTGATGAAGCCGGTGTTTCATTCGAGTCCGTTTGTGAGACCGCAGAAGCAGCGAATCTAGCTCTGAGAGCCTACGGCCTGTCTTTGTTTCGTGAAGGCAAACCAAGGTATATGTTAGTGTACGCCATCACGGCGATTCAGCAGCTCTTTCCAGAGTTCCGGAGGAACCTCGCTGGTGCATGGCAGGTTGATCTTAAATGGCAGTTTGAGGAGCCCGGCCAGTGCCGTGCTGTACTCTCAGCTCCGGTACTGAGGGCTGTGCTGGCAGTTGCGCTGCTTTGGGGATGGTTTTCTTTTGCTGGTTCAGTGGCTTTAGGCTTCGGTGGGATGCTCCACCCTAGTGAACTGCTGGCCTTGTGCAGGCGTGATTTGGTATTTGCAGAGGATGCATTGATGACTCAATCTTGCATGTACATTTACATAAAGAACCCAAAGACGGCCCGCTTTGCACGCCGTCAGCACGCTAGAGTTGACGACGCGAGTTTGATTTTCTTGGCTAAATGTGTGTTCAGCAACCTGCCTCTGGATAGCAAATTGTTCCCGGCTTCGATAGCAGTATTCAGACGTCAGTGGAACGCTTTGTTTGATCATTTAGGGATACCATGAAGACAAGCAGATCGTGGGGCGACCCCAGGTGTTCTCAGAGGCAGTGGGGCAACCCACGAATACCTTGAAACTTCAAACATCGCCCAAATACAGTGGAAGGGCAGGTGGAGTCGCCAGCGCACCCTTGAATATTACATACAGGAGGTGGCAGCGCAGCTCTTCTTGTTCAACCTTTCGACAGAAACTCGAACTCGCATAGCAACCCTAGGGTCCAATTTGCGGTTGATTTTGCAAGCGAGCTTTCCAGTGCAATATCAGTTATTTTGCAAAGCAGAATTTTGAGGACGGAGAGAGCTTTCGATCGAGCATTGTGTGGCCTTCCTTTGAAGTTGAGTGG